GAAAAGGGCAAGGTACACTTTTGGCGGAAAAGGGAATCGAACAATTTATGATTTGGCGGAAAAGTGAATTGGGGGAAAAGGGAAAGGTACACTTTTGGCGGAAACCGGCCATGCCCGGGACAGTAACCCCCAGCATCTACCGCCCGCCTAGCCAGCCTACAATTATATAGGTCAACCGCCTATATTTGTCGCCGACCGATTCACACACACACAAGCACACATGTCACATATATCATTATTTATTTATATTATTGTTTAAATTTGTGTTTTAATTGTTATGTGAATTATATAATAGCAAGATTACGTGCGAGGAAGCACAATCAGTCGCTGCCAAACTACCATGAAAAATAGCACGGTCGTCGCAATTGTATGTCTTCCCGTCCGTCCACGTCGTCCGTATAATATTATAATAATTTTAGTCTTTTCTCCAGCGTTAACAAAACAACGCCTCTTACGTGCGCTAATCGGACAATTTTTATTGTTTTAAATTTTATTTTGTGTGCGCTAATCGTCACATTATACTTCGAAATTGTGGGCGCGAATCGCCACCAATTAATATTGTATTATCGTTTTATAAGCACTGATCGCCAATTTTATTCACTTCTACTATTATATTGTGTGTACAAATCTCCACTGATTTGTCCCTAAGTTTGTTATTTTTTATTAATTATTGTTACTTATACTCTATATTGTGAGCGCTAATCGCTCTCCGCATATATTGTTTTATATATATTTTATATGCTTGTCACAAATTGGCGTATTTATTATTTAATTTATTTTTCATGTATTATATTTTTCAATTATTTCGTGTTTAAACGTGTGAAATTATTTATATAGGCTAGTTTAGGTAGCAGCTGGCCAGCCAAGCACCGACAAAATTGCGAGTTTTTACATATGTTATTTATATTTACGTATATTATTTCTATATTATTATTATTATTATTATTATTATTATACCTTTTTACTTGTTGGGCCAAAAGGCCGTAAAGCATATTATTATTATCATTTATTATATTGTAACATTTGTAACCTTTTACAATAATTTCTACTGCGCGTTACCAGTTATTCATTAGAGTTACCTGTTCGTCTAGTATTTAAGTTTCAAAACACACACACAATATACACACATACACACACCACCACACACTAGAACTCTCTGGTCTTGCTCGGCGACCCCGTCCACTTCCTTTGAGTCGCTATACCCGAATACACATTTTACACAGGTCGGTCGGTGTGTGTGTGCGATACGAAGTAGCCGGTGACCGGACACGCATATATCTATTATTATTAAACGATCCCGGCCCGAACACATTGTATCATATTATATACCCTTTTTACCAACCATTTAAGTTGTTATGACTATGTGCATGCGAAAAATGCGATAATACTGAAAATTGTATATGCCATGTTAGTTATATACTTATATATTAAGTTATAATTTTTAACTTATTACATAAAAAACTTAAATACACATTTTAGAAAATATACAACTTTTATAAAGTTAAAGTTAATTCTTTTAGGAAACTTATACACAATTATAAAAATTAACATCGTAATAAATATGATAATTCAAAAACGATATAAGTAATAAATTACTTTGACCAATAACTTCGAATCATATCTGCTCCCTTTTCACCAACCATCAAAGTCGGGGCATAAAGATGTGCATGGGGTATATGTGGAAATATTGATGAGTCCACAACTCTTAACCCTTCAATTCCGATTACTTGTAACTTGTTRTTGACAACATMTCCCATCCTGCATGTATTACACTGATGATGATAGGTATWTGTYWRGTGTTTTGAYAMACAMRCCCAATAATCATCWGATYTAAATASTARATGKYYACAWTTTGGRTACGGTTTTGGACTTAGTTTRGCTGAGACATCTTTAAATGCCTGTGTTTCTTCTACTAACTTCACTGCATATTTAAGTGCAAATACATTGTCTTCTAAATCGGTATTATTGTTTTCGTAGTAATCATATGACATAATGGGTGGATCCAATGGATT